AAAAAAAAAAAAAAAAAAAAAAAAAGTGGCACTATAATTCAGTGGGGGAGAGTATGGCCTTTTCTTTAAATGGCCAGGAGCAATTTGACATCCATGTGGGGGAAGGAAGGAAATATGAACCTTAAGCCTCTCCTTCATGCTGGTGATCTCCCAAATTAATGCAAGATGCATCATAAGCATGCATGTGAAGACAAAAACAATAGAGCTCCATGTCTGGCTCTCCTGGAACGCTGAGGTGGAAGGATCGCTGGAGCCCAGCAAGTCGAGGCTGCAGTGGCCGTGAGCGTACCACTGTACTCCAGCCTGGGCGACAGAGTGAGACTCTGACTCAAAAAAAAAAAAAAAAAAAGAAAGAAAAAGAGACAACCCAATTTTTTTAAATGAGCAAAAGGTTTGCACAGACACTTTACAAAAGAGGGTATATGAATTGCCAATAATCATAGAAAAAGACTCTTAATATCATTAGTTATCAAGAAATGCAGCCGGGTACAGTGGCTCACACCTGTAATCCCAATACTTTGGGAGGCAGAGGCAAGAGGATTGCCTGAGCCCATGGGTTCAAGACTAGCCCGGGCCATTGTTTCACTAAGCTATGGTGTGTCCATGTGTTCTTTGAGCCATGGTCAGGTTATGTTTCTTAAGCTTTGGCACAAAGAGGGTATATGAATTGCCAATAATCATATAAAAAGATGCTTTGGCAACCTCCCCTCTCTTTCTCTCTCTCTCTTTCTAACTTAGTTTTTAAGTAAACTATATTTTCTAATCTGGAAACAAAAAAACAGCTCGGGCAACATGGTGAGACCTTGTTTCCACAATAAATCAAAAAATTAGGTGGGTGTGGTGGCACACACCTTTGGTTACAACTACTTGGAAGGCTGAGGCAGAATGATCACCTGAGCCAAGGAGGTTGAGGCTGTGGTGACTGTGAGCATGCCTCTGCACTCCAGCATGGGTGACAGAGTGAGACTCTGACTCAAAAAAAAAAAGAAGTGCAAATTAAGCCCTAATGGTGGGTGGGTGGGTGGGGCGGGGGGAAGACTTGGGCTCAGTGGCTCAGCTCTTTGAAAGGCTGAGGCAGGAGGATCACTGGAGCCCAGGAGTTTGAGACCAGCCTGAGCAACATAGCAAGCCCTTGTCTCTTCGAAAAATTAAAAAAACTAGCAGGGCATAGTGTCGTGGACCTGAGGTCTCAGCTACTTGGGAGGTTGAAGAGGGAGGATTGCTTGAGCCCAGAAGTGCAAGGTTACAGCGAGGCATGATGGCACCACGGCACTCCAACCTGGGCAACAGAGTAAGATCCTGTCTCAAAAACAAAACAAAACAAAAAAACCCAGTGAACTATCACTATTCGTTCCCCTGAATGACTAAAACTTTTTAAACTGATAATATCAAATGTTGGCAAGAATATGGAACAATGGAAACTCTCACATTGCTTGTGGAAGGGTAAATTGATTCAGTTCCTGCTGTGGTTTGAATGTTTGTGCCCCCTCCAAAATTCATGTTGTAACTTAGTCTCCACCAGGCTTGGTGGTTCAAGCTTGTAATTCTAGCACTCTGGGAGGTGGAGGTGAGAGGATTGCCTGAGCTCAGGGGGGTTTGAGACCAGCCTGAGCAACATGGCAAGACCTCGTCTCTACAATAAATCAAAACGTTAGCCAGGCGTGTGGCACATGCCTGTGGCTCTAGCTACTTGGAAGGCTGAGGGGGAAGGATCACTTGAGCCCAGTGGGTCGAGGCTGCAGTGGCTGTGAGTGTGCTGCTGCATTCTAGCCTGGGCAACAGTGTGAGACTCCAACTCAAAAAAAAAAAAGGAAACTTAGTCTCCAATGCAATTCTTGAGAGGTGGAGCTTCAAGGAGATGGTTACATCTTGGAGGCTTCTCCCTCAGGAATGGGATTAAGGCTTTTATAAAAGAGAAGGTACGTTAAGGCGCAATGATTTACACCTGTAATTTCAGCACTTTGGGAGACCAAGGTGGGAGGATTGCCTGAGTCCAGGGGTTTGAGACCAGCCTGGGCAACTTGGTGAAACCTCATCTCTACAATAAATCAAAAAATTAGCCAGGCATGGTGGCATGTGTCTGTAGTTC